CCCACAAAATAACAGCAGCAGAGACCTGTGCCCCAGCTATTTTTGGATGATAAACATTTGTATCAGGTCAACTAAACATGGGCATAGTAAATATATATTTATACTACATTTATCCATTTTAAATACACCAACCTCACTCCTTTGTAACAACTAAGGCAAAAATGTCATTAATTCAGAAAATCTTTTCAGGACCCCATCTTGATGTTTTGGGACCCCACTTTGGGTCCCGACCCCAACTTTGGGAAACCCTGGTCTAAACAACACAAGTTTTTAATTATTTAAAAACAATACTAGAAGCAGTGGGCTTGAGATTCTAGGATTTGTCCGGACCATTACAGCTCACTGAGTCTTTTCTTTTTCAGCCGTTAGTATTACGGATGAGGACACATTTCTTTTGTCCCACACCAATGTCAAATCTTACAGATTTATATAAAGAACTCTAAAACCACTTAAAATAACAACAAAACCACGATATTATCTCAAGTGTCAAGGAAAGGAAGTTTAGGATGTTTTTGTTGGGTCAGTCTCATGATTTCTGCTGTGATTCTTCACTGATCCAACAGGGCCTTTGTGACCATTTGTCCTTATGAAGAAATTTATAACACGTATTTCTAACACTTATTTATTTCTATTTTTGATCATAACCTCCTTAATGTAGACAGTGGTTTCCAAAGTTGGGGTCGGGACTCAAAGTGGGGTCCTGAAAAGATTTTCTGAATTAATTACATTTTTGCCTTAGTTGTTACAAAGGAGTGAGATTAGTATACTTAAAATGGATAAATGTAGTATAGAAATATTTTTACTATGCCCATGTTTTGTTGACCTGATCCAAATGTTTATCATCCAAAAATAGTTGGGGGCACGGGTCTCTGCTACTGTTTATTTTGTGGGTCAAAATCTGAAAAGTTTGGGAACCACTGATGTAGAAGATATTGCCATAAAATTGTTCAGAAATGATCTACCTTCTGCCCCCCTAATAAATAAATAAATTAATTAATAAAATAAAATAAAATGCATCTAGGATCCTACAATGTAGAATTAGCAGAAAAGGTATTAAATAATGTTAAGGCTCATGTCACCAATCTGCATCATCAAATACACTTAATGTGTCTTGGAAAACTATTAAATGAATACCATTTAATAATCACGTGAAAATTTATGTACTAAACAAATCCAGTTAACCAATGTTTTTTACGTGAATAATCGTCCTCTCTGTAGAATGATGGACTCCAAATAATATGGAAATGACATTAACCTTTCCAGATTGATGAGCAGAAAACTGCCTTTCTGTGATCATTGCCAATGCTTTTCTTTGTTGTCGTTATGTTCACACACACACACACACACACACACACACACACACACACACACACACACACACACACACACACAC